GAATCTAATAAATGAGTTTAATTTAGCTCTCGGGTCATTTAGTTACTGCTATTTACCAGTCCTAAAATGCATCAATGTGTTGTAGAAAAATAGCTTGATATTTAAATGAGCATTCGTTCCGCATAAATATAACTTCATTTGGACGTAAGGAGCTCTAAGCGGTTTGCCAAATTGTTAAGGGACTAACCCCACAGCGCAATGATGCATTAGCCTTTTCTCGATTGCAGGCTTTGAATGATTTCTATTTGCAAAATATTCTAAGCATGTTGTGGTGTTCGATGTCATGGTGTTCGGTACCTGAAGTCAAGACAAAGATGAACAAATAAACGTAACATCTCCATCACTAAAAAGCAAGATACAACACTAGGAGATGCTCAGATGGAACGGCCACCTAAGCTTTGATTCGCAGCTTGGATAGATAAATAAAGGGAAAATTTGCAAAATAGAACGTTTTTATAAAGTAATTAGCGAAATAGACCGTTTTTAAAAGTAATTAGCAAAATAGACCGTTTTTTAGCAAAAGAGGTCGATTTTGAAAAAGGGTTCAGAAAACATACGGGACTACTAGTCCCGTACCGTATATTTTCTGAGTGAGATTAAACATACGGGACTAGTAGTCCCGTATGTTTTCTGAACCCTTTTTCAAAATCGACCTCTTTTGCCAAAAAACGGTCTATTTTGCTAATTACTTTTAAAAACGGTCTATTTCGCTAATTACTTTATAAAAACGGTCTATTTTGCAAATTTTCCCGTATGCAATTCATACCTTTTTGAGGGCTGCGGTAATCTCGGCAAACAAGACACTGCTTGAAAGGTGAGGTGAAGTTACGAGAGTACTGAAAAGACTGTACCTGTTACGCAGTTCGATTTCTTCTTCTTCTTTTGCTTTTATATATGCCACTGTCTAATTCTCAATCTCCAGAGTTTCTGTCTTTGTGCTATAAGTATTTCTTTTGAGGACAAAATTTTTGAAAACAGACCCATTTGCAAAAATATTCCTAAAAAAAAAACTCGTTTGCACTTTATTTTTAAAAAACGATCTAGTTTTAACCTCAGTGCTGAAACTGGGTCGGTTTTTGGGAAAAATGTTCCTAAACTTCACTGGAGTTAACTCCGGTGAAGTTTTTTCATAACAAAACTTTACGGGATTTCAACTCCCGTGAAGTTTGGGAACATTTTTCGTAAAAAACGACACAGTTTCAGCCCTGAGGCTGAAAGTATGTTGTTTTTTGCGAATATTTTTAAAACAGGTCATTTTTTAGAATATTTTTGCAAAAGGATCTGTTTTAAAATTTTGCCCTTTCTTTTCAACAAAGTTTAACTTTCAGGGAATATGATGACGTGATTTATTATTTTAAACCAAAGGCCCTGCTCATGGAGAAACAAAAGGCTAGAATCATATAATCCTTGCATACTAGTAACATAAATTTTACGTTATGTATTGTAAACACACAGGACTAAATCAAAGGATCCGATCCCTACTTGCTCCATGAATTATGAGTTTTGTCCCTTCTTATTCACTAAACTATTTTCGGTCACTAAATACCTCATAAACTATTGAACTTGTTCGCTTGTTTCCACTTGGAACTATTAAGTGTCGTCTTATCTTGTGAGATCACAAAGTAATAAACATGAGGTTGTAACTAAGAGTGGTGTTAGGGGCACACCACCCACCACAACCCCAACTACACTCCCCCCTCTCTTTGTTACAGTAAACCGGGCCCCACATGGGATTTTAAATTTTTTAAAATCCCATGTGAGGCCCGGTTTACTATAGCAATGAGAGGGGGGAGTGTGGTTGGGGTTGTGGTGGGTGGTGTGCCTCTAACATTATTTCAATAGAAATATAGAGAATCTATATGCCTCCTCAAATATTTTTAATGATTTTCAAAAGCAAAAACGTAATTCACTCGGGTAGTCTATCCACAACAAGTAAAATTACAGGGGTCTATTCCCAAAAAATAAAATAGCATGGAATAGAATCTCTCCGCAGTTGGGTGATACTGCATGGCATTTGTTCCCAATTAAAAAAAAAGTGATTTTTAAAAGAAAGGTCGATGAGTACCTTCCTACTTCATCTACCTTACTATCATCTTGGACTCAAAACTCATGTCTTGGGCCTGAGTCAAGTGATTACCAAAACACTAATCCTTTGCTTTTTCTAGTTTTGATCTCAAAAATTTTTACCGTCTTTGATTCTATTTATTCCTCTTGTCAATCCTCAGGAGGACTTGAAGCTGGAGCTCATCTCCTATTGGAGCAGTTCAGCCTCTCATCGTGCCAGAATCGCCCTCAATCTCAAAGGTACAAAAAAAAAAACTAACATTATCCACTGATTCTTGAGGATTTCAATTCTATTTCGTCTGGATTAAAGACCCAACTTGTTGCATTATGAAAAAACCTATCCTTGTCTGGAATTTCATTGATGGAAGTTTGTGCCCACATAAATGTTGGGAAAGATTGAGAAATCCCAGGATAATTTCCCCAACTAAATAAGACAAAATTAACAACCAACGCGCAACCTTAACAACAAACACGTAAATCGCTTGGCTTTTGAAAATTTCATTAACAAGCAACGCGTAACCTTAACAAGCAACCCGTAACCTTAACAAGCAACGCGTATAACCTTAACAACCGACGCGTATAACCTTAACAACCAACGCTAACCTTAACAACCAACACGTAAATCGCTTGGCTTTTGAAAATTTCATTAACAAGCAACGCGTAACCTTAACAAGCAACCCGTAACCTTAACAACCGACGCGTATAACCTTAACAACCAACGCTAACCTTAACAACCAACACGTAAATCGCTTGGCTTTTGAAAATTTCATTAAAATTAGGGAAAATGCTCTGTGAACCCAAATCCGTAAGATTAGAGACTTTTGTCATTTAACACTTTACGATTAGAGACTTTTGTCAATGAAGTTTGAACACAGAAAAGTACTTCTGCTTTGCCTATTACCATTTAGCATGGCCACACATCCACCACGAGCAAGGGAAATACTACGAATATAGAAAAGCTGGATAATGAACTTCCTTGTATGTTATATCATTCGTCCATAGTTCATGCTCAAAAATAAATAATTGATCCAAAATGATTACAGTATACACCGATAAACAAATAAGCAATAGAAGGCATGATTTTACTAGGACAAAAGGAGTTTGTGTTTGCTTTCCTATGGGTTTACTGGAAAATTAACGAACTTAGAGCTGATATTATTTGCAGGAAGTGTTTTCCCATAATTTTAATGAAATTTTCAAAAGTCAAGTGATTTACGTGTTGGTTGTTAAGTTTACGGGTTGCTTGTTAAAGTTACGCGTTGATTGTTAAGGTTACGGGTTGCTTGTTAAGGTTCTACGTTGGTTATTAAGGTTACAGGTTGCTTGTTAAGGTTACGGTTAACATTAACAAGCAACCCGTAACCTTAACAAGCAACGCGTATAACCTTAACAACCGACGCGTATAACCTTAACAACCAACGCGTAACCTTAACAAGCAACCCGTAACCTTAACAAGCAACCCGTAACATTCACAATCAACGTGTATAACCTTAACAATCAACGCGTAACCTTAACAACCAACGCGCAACCTTAACAACAAACACGTAAATCGCTTGGCTTTTGAAAATTTCATTAACAAGCAACGCGTAACCTTAACAAGCAACCCGTAACCTTAACAATCAACGCGTAACTTTAACAAGCAACCCGTAAACTTAACAACCAACACGTAAATCACTTGACTTTTGAAAATTTCATTAAAATTATGGGAAAACACTTCCTGCAAATAATATCAGCTCTAAGTTCGTTAATTTTCCAGTAAACCCATAGGAAAGCAAACACAAACTCCTTTTGTCCTAGTAAAATCATGCCTTCTATTGCTTATTTGTTTATCGGTGTATACTGTAATCATTTTGGATCAATTATTTATTTTTGAGCATGAACTATGGACGAATGATATAACATACAAGGAAGTTCATTATCCAGCTTTTCTATATTCGTAGTATTTCCCTTGCTCGTGGTGGATGTGTGGCCATGCTAAATGGTAATAGGCAAAGCAGAAGTACTTTTCTGTGTTCAAACTTCATTGACAAAAGTCTCTAATCGTAAAGTGTTAAATGACAAAAGTCTCTAATCTTACGGATTTGGGTTCACGGAGCATTTTTCCCTAATTTTAACATCGCTTTGATGTTTTCTAAACATCAAAGCGATGGGAGGGGGGATTGGGATGGGAAATCCGACGGCAGCTACAATCACGCACGTGCTTACTAATAAGAGGAAGTTTCCCTTCACCGACGGGGCGGAGGATCTGTTGGTGGTGTCCCTGGGGAGCTCCAAGGCGCTGAATCTTTGTTGCGGGGAGGTTAAATTGGCAGCGAAGGTTGCGAGGATCGCCGGCGAAGAAACGATCAACGCGGTGGATCAATCGGCAGCGAAGGTTGGTTTTGGGGGCGGCGACGACGGCGGAGGAGGCGATGATGGTAGGAGGAGGGTGGCGGCAGCGGCGGGTGGAGAGGTGGGGGAAGGAGGAGGGAGAGCAGAGGGCCGGATTGCATGGTTAGAGAGAAAGAGAGAATGGGTAGAATGGGTATTATAGTCTTTACCTGTGTAAAATTCTTGGGCTTTGTGTTTTGGGGGCTCAGTGAATAATTAGTTTACTTTTGGGGGCAAAAAGCCCGTTGAAAAAGTCTTGGGGTGGGAGACATGTTTCTTTTTGTTTTGGGGGCTAGAAGCATTTTTCCCAAAAAAAAAAAACCACAAGAAGGAAAACAAACCAAAGGAAAGCTGAGAATGGGATTTGGGAGTGACTTGTGATCCGCCGAATGTCTTAGCTACTCGCTATTGACAACATCCAGCAGCGATCGGCACGTGAATTCCAGAAATAAATTTCCTGGACTATTCATCACAAAATATTACTGAAAAAAAAAATTTAAAAGCAAGAGTCGCAACTCGGCTCATACAGAGCAGCTCAAAATGTATTTATAAAAAAGAAGAAAGAACTAGGTCTTTTTTATACATGAAAAAAATTGAGTATAAGATACAGCACCAACAGGAATACAGCATACAATTATTACATTGATCAAAGAAGGAAGCCTTCCTCCCAAAAACAGCTCAGGCCAAAATGAAGTTCTTAAAACTCACTTCACTCAGCGCTGTGTAGCAACAATACATCTTCCATATAAACCTATAAAATGTAAAGATGTTACGAAAACAAATTTGATGACACCAAAACAAAACTTTATAGGCCTCAGACTTTACAAAATACCCTCCAAAAGAGTAATTTCTACATAAGAGGAAGATAAGCTCCACCATGGCCTCTCCTTAATATAAGAGGCCCAGCACTCTCAGGAACTTTGTCCAACACCTTCGTGCAAGAATCAACCACATCCCCAAAACCAGTAGCAATTGTTGCCAGTTGCAATCTTACTCTCAAATCCCTAGTCCTCTTCAACAAACACCTAAACGACCTCCCCAAATGCTTAACCCATTCAGCAGGTAACCCTCCAGGCGAAAGCCAAACTGAGAAATGTGATTGGTCTCCTCTCGCAGCAACTTCCGACCTATAAAATCTCGCTAACTCGAGAAGCATCGACGGTTGCAAAGGAAGAACTGTGACAAATTCTGCGACAAATTCTTCAATGAGGTCAGGCTTTAACATCAAGTTCCATAAAACTGGAGCCCATTCACTAGGCTGGTTTAAATCATAGGCTTCAGCTACAATTAGGGCTTCTTGGAACCGAGATTGCTCAACTAAAGCTCGGCGAGCGTTGGTTTCGGTTAGTTCAAGATAGTTGAGGTCAGGGATTCGGATTTGGAGAGAGAGAAGCGAAGCGCGAGCACAAGCTCGGTAGGTTTTGTGACCGGCATCAATAGTCGAGTAGACTTCAGCAGATTCGATGATGTAGCGCATGGCTTCGAGTAGGTCTTCGGTTTGGCGATCTCTGTAGCGGCGAGAGAACCATTGATGGATGAATTGGGTTGATCGGAATTCAAGATGTGACGCGGTTTCGTGCTTCATGTCAAAATGGTTGTAAACCTGGAGGGAAAATAGCGATAAAGAGAACTAGCAGTTAATTTAATCCAAATCATTAATGGAACAAGTTACTTTATTTCCCCTATCATGCACAGAAAATGGGAAGCCTCAGAAAAGTAGAATTCAAAACTTTCCTAAAATTTTGTTTATTATTTCACCTTTTCTCATTATTTTACTTTATGCAAGAGTGAAGGGCAGTGAATTTCCTTATTTTCTACCAAGGAAGAATGGTCCGTGAGTAATTGATATTTGGAAAGCTGTCGAGCCAAGTAAGCAACATTTTTTTCAGTTCAATTCTTTTGTTATTTTTTAGGGAAGTCAGTACAGCTAAGTAATCCTATGTATCACTGTTTTCAAGTCATCTTTTTCTGTAAATTTCATCCTAACAAAAGGAAATTTAGAGGGAAAGGTCTTGTATTTTCTTTCTCAGTTTCATATGACATTTCTTGTATGAGAGCATTCCAAGGATATAGGCATCATTTTATTGGAAGTTTCATTAAAGATAATTGTCAAGTAATAAGCTTCTAATTGGGCATGTCTGAATAGACCCTATCAAAGGATTTTAATCATTAGGGGGGTTATTAGTTGAGGATTGTTGATTTGAACTCGAACTTTTTATTGGATTTCAATTTAAGGCGTTATTCGTTTCGGACTAGAATTTGGATTTAAATTTAAGGTGTTACTATTTTAGGACAAGGATTCGGATTTGAACTTAATGTGTTTATTGGTTTAGGACTAGGATTTGGATTTGAATTTAAGGTGTTATTGGTTTAGGACTAGGATTTGGATTTGAATTTTATGTGTTATTCGTTTAGAACTAGGATTTGAATTTGAATTTAATGTGTTATTGGTTTAGGACTAGGATTTGGATTTGAATTTAAGATATTATTGATTGTCTAGGATTTTTATTAAGACTAGGATTCAAAATCCACACTCCATTCCAACTCTATAGTTTTTAATGAGAAATTTTCAAAAGAAAGTCCAAGTTAAAATTGATGAATTATGATCTTACACAATGGATTTTCTCTCTCCTATTCTCTGTACTCATTTAAATATTTAATATATTTCAAATTAATTTAAAATATTCCATATTTCTAATTTATTTATATATTAACATTGAATGTATTTAACTTTGAAATATTCTTAATCAACTTCTATAAATTTATTTCATTCATTTAAAATGAAATATATTCAATACTATGTAACATTGTTTTAAACATCGGCCGATAATCGATATTATCGGCCGAGTTATCGGATTTTTGAGCTCTCCGCTAGGATAAGTTGGTTTTGTAATCGGTTATCATTTTGGAGAGATTATCGGTGAGTTATCGGCGTTATCGGCACTTATCGGCCGATAAGTAAGGCTAAATTATCGGGATTGTCGGGATTATCGGTCAGGCATTTTGAGTTGAGTTGTTGAGTTTTTAAAACCCGACCCGACCCGTTTTGTTAATAATATGAAACTTAAAACCCAAAACTTTGTGAATCCGACCTTCAAACCCTAACTTCGTCTCTGGCGGCTGCTCCTTTTCTCGTAGGGCGCTTCCTCTGTTATCTCCATCTTATGTTCTTTGCGCCTCTTCATCGTTCGCCTTCGTGAACTTTAACCTTGAACTTTGTCGCTTGCCTACCCTCTGTCAACCATGTTTTTTTTTGTCCAGAAACATGGCTATATACACATGCTGTGAGTTTTCCTTCTCTTGTAATTCCTTCACGCACACACTTTCTCTTTTGAGTAATATCAGTTCTATAACTATTCTTTTATCATACTTTGCTTTTCTGTTTTTCCTGTAACAGAGACTTATATAAAAAATTAGTGAGTAAACTGTACATACTTTGCTTTTCTGTTTTGGTATGTTTATATTTCATTAAGCATGGTTAGATTACATTTTTTTAGTTATATTATATATATATACACCATCCAGTATATTGCTCCGATAAATACTACTTATCCCCGATATATCCCCGATTTCCGCTATCCGATAAGAAGTTTGGTCGTCCGATAAATCCCCGATAACCGATATTTAAAACCTTGCTATGTAATCACTTAATTTATTTTATATTTAATATTAAATTAGATATGTTTATTATTTAACATTTCTTGAATATATAAATATTTTAAATATTTAATATTATATATGTTTGAACTATTTGAATGGATTGTAAGATGTACTTAGTTTTGTTATTGTCATCCGTCAATCGAAATGAGGGCGGATTTTAAATTAATTTTCTTTTTTTGTTAATAATTAAACATAATAACTTAATTTGAAACTCCTAATGCACATAATCCACGAATCTAAAATTTAATTTTAGGATCCGACCGTCGGTCTACGAAACCAAAGCAAAGGTTTAAGAATCCAAACCAAAATTTTAAGAATTCTACTCATAAAAACCAAAATCGAATCCAAGAGTCCAGGGCTCTAACCATAAAATCCGAGTCCATGTCCCAATCCAAGAATGTGGGATTCATGGACGCTTGTCCGAGTCAACAATCCAGCATGAATAACACTCCCGTAGAGTCTATTTCTTAAACGGATTTGATAAATCCAATGGAATTACTTTTTCACCATCAAGTTTTGGATAAGATTCAAATGATTAAATTCAAAAAGTCGCTCACACACTTTGGATTAGGATTGGGCCTTCATTGTCTAGTCTGAAAATAAAATTTCTCTTGGCTATAAAGTTGTAAAGTACTTTTATGAAAGAGTTAAATAACTTATGGAGGAGTTAATGTGGCATGCACACGAACTTCCAAGGGTCATATAAATGATATAATCCTAAGGATTCTCAGCCAAACGAAAATAGGTGCAAAGCCAAAGGACACGCATCCCAAATGCACTCCAAAGTTTTTTTTTAATGCAAGTCATACAAAGCCTCAAAAGATTTTGATAATTTAAAGCATGACAAAAAGACAAAATGGTATGAAGTGCATTTGAAAATTACGGCAGTTGATTTGGAAGAAAGGGAAGCAACATCACATACCGTAGCAAATGCATCAAGGTCATGAGGGTTAAAAAGCTTCAATGATGTGAGAACAGACAGTCGGAATCCTCTGACTGCTTCAGATGTGGCAGAACCAGTGTCAGCAGTAGAATACTTCTGAAGTAGGAGATCTAGTTGACCATTTTCTATAAGGATATTAAGAATGAAGTTCAAAGCATGGAAATTGCTAACACCAGTTATCAAGCGAGCCAAACAAGAGAAATCTCCTTCTGACACATAAGATTCTACCCTGTTTGCTGCAAGGGTAACGAGAACATCGACTCCATCAAGGCAAGCCGAGGATTTGTAGAAATGGTGAGAAAGAATTAGAAGTTCAACCTGACATAGGCACAAATAATTGTTTCAATCAATTAAAACACTGCACCAAACTGTTCTCTTTTGACAGCTAAAAATGCCACTGCGTCAGAAAATAAATTGCATGACTATAAAAGAATAATGTAGTAGGAAGTATCCTTTTTGCTAACAGCCTAAGAGTGCATCATGTTGCAAATTGGGCAAGTATAAGCATACAATCTGTTGAAACTGATATTTAACCAGCCGAACAAGTCGTATCAAGAAAACAATAATGTATGTACTGTTAACACAACTCTTTAATGAGCCTATACACATCACAACATGGGATTATTCTGTCCCACTCTACAACATTGTTGGCATTCTGCAATTATTTATAGTTCCCCTTCATAACTCTTGTCTATCCTGATTGCCCTCTACATCATCCACAACCATGAGACAACTCTATTTAGCCTCTACTGTTACTCATCATAAATAACTGACAAGTTATACCATAAAGCCAAAGATAACAAAAGTATTAGAAACAAAAAAAAACTACATGAAAATAAAAGAACAGGCAAAAACATAAGGAAATAGGAGGGGGGAAAGGACAATGTAGTAGGGGTAAGGTGACCCAAGCATACATACACCTGAATAAATTCATAGGTACAACTTGGAGAAACCCCAAAAAAATTTACTTAGGGGCAAAACATAAACAAAAATAGGCATCTCAAAGGGACAAGAGAAGGAACTATCATTTAACAGGTCAAGTGGATAATCTTGCAATGCACATAAATCAGAACACCTATGATTTGCACATTCTTTTGTATGTTTCAGGAATGATTTCGCAAGAAACGTCTCAAGTACACACGCACAACATATATGATACACAGGTTATGCACATGAATATGTATAGGTGCATATGGTATTAAACCCCTAATCTCATACTGGAAAGCTTCTGCTCAAAGAAATAGAGTCGAAGCATATCAAAATCATTCTACTGTAGAGCAACAGAATCTAATACCTCACAAGCATGTGGTATTTCTTGCCCCGTCATCACTAAGCGCATCAGAGCATGACCAATTTCTGGTTCTGAAGGACAAAGTTCTGCCCACTTCAAGAAGTCAGAGAATCTCCATAAAAGTGGGGCAGGCCCTTCCTCCCTCTGAGAATCCATGTATCCCCCACGATGTGCAGCCAAGAGACCCTGGTCATCAGGCATAACAAAAGTTCAAAAAAGAAACTGAACATCACAGTTTACAATGATGAATCATGTTCAGATTGGAAAGAGCTTGGTTATTATTTTAATTGGGATCAAGAAAGAGAAGATTGAGTAGAGAAGATGCGATAAACATGCCTTCAGAAAAGACTCTGCAAGTATTCGTGCAATGCTTGGTGCAGACATAACATGAGTCTGCACCAAGAGTTTGGCTTCCTCAAGAGACTCCTGTGCTTTGAGAGAAAGTAACTGTAGCAATTCAATAGGTCGTTTCTCAAATGCTTCAGAAAATGTGAGGCCCAATACTTTTGCAGACTTAACAACTGATATAATCCTCCAACAAAGTCCACGCCCACAACCTTGACTACATTTTGCTGCTAAAGACTCCAAAACCTGTAATTTGGTTCCAAGCAGTATAAATGTTCAGCTGAAACAATTTCACGACCTATGTTCAGCCATTAGAAATAAGATTAAAGAAAAGAGGTTCAAAATACAAGGAACTGAAAATTATGTCAGAAACAACCAAAATATGAATATAAGACATGGACACGAAATCTTGTATTACCAAAAACAGTAAATTTCCATAAAGTACATACGACTCGTTTTGTGCAAATAAAAATGTATAAAATAGTTATGATAGTGAAATGAACGAACCTGCAGCAAATCAGCATGATCTTTGCTCACCGCAGGGAGTGATTGGACAACTGAAAGAACTTCATGATCCAGCTCTGATAAATTTATTTCTCCACTACTATTGGGAGATGAAAGATCAGCAACCTTTAAAGCAGCATCAACAAATACAAGCTCCGGTGGCACATAAGATGGAGACAGCTTAAGTTGGAGCTGTTTAGCAGCTGTTATCTGTCCGAACTCTAGTAGAGAAAGAATAGCCCTCTCCACTTCTGCAGGCCTCACTTTTTCCTCCCATCCAGAAACGGATGCTTCAATCTGCATATTTTCCTCTGTTATCTGTGTATTTTTGGATACTTCTCCGCTGCTCAAAATGTTGTTCGGAGAATTGAGGTTATCATCAGAATCATTACTATTTTCTATAGTTTCCGTAGGTCGTCTTATTTGCAAATAGGTTTTGGACCTTCGTTTTGTTCTTGTACTGCTTGCTGTCGTAACTGAACTATGAGAATCACCAAACTGCAAGTGCCGGCTATGAGGCAGGTTGTTCTCTCTCATTGCGTTTCTTTCAGAAGCTCTTAACCGCATAGTATTTATATGAGCATCCATTTTTGCAATAACATTTGCAGTCTGTTCTATAATGCTGGCACTAGTTCCAGTTACTATATTATGGATAGAGTTTGATAAGATAAGGTCACCTTCAGGCTTGGACTGAACTTCTGATTCCACAGCCAAGAGCCATACTCTAGTCTCAATCTCTCGTAGAAGATGTAGAGGATAAACACTGAAGGAAACAAACAATAGCATTTAGCTGCTAAGAGAAAAACCCTGAAAAACAAACAAACAAACAAACAAACACACACACACACACACACACACAATGGAACACGAATTACGTCACAAAACATCTTACGGGGGAGATTTAGTCATGCTGCCACTTAGCCACTGAAGTGAAAGTAGGAGCATTTCATGTAATTCTCTCGCCGGAATCTCTTTCTCAATTGCCTCAGCATGTCTGAGGAAAAATAATCCTGCCTGCATGTGTAGTGCAAAATATACCAGTTTCAACAAAGTCTTCGATAGAAAATGTGTGAAAAGTTTAAGACAATGACCTTCAATGGAGGAAAAGAATATCTAAGGAAAAGAGTTTGGCAATGGCCCCATAAAGCAGCTCTCTCTTCTCGAACATCCCAAAGATATTCCTTCCATTCAACCACCATGGCTTCTGCCTGTGAGAAAGATAATACATGATGTAATGAAATGGACCCAAAGAAGACGGGGGAAAAAGGAAGAATGCTCATGATGGTTTCCTAGTGACGGATATACTATGTAGTACCTGTCATCTATAATTTTATAGGCGAAAAACTTCTAGAAGAAGGTTTTACCTTTACAATAAATTGAGATATATAAGTGACGGAGTGTATGAAATGACTAGTCCACAATAACAGCTTTCATACCCATTATTTTAGATTATAAATCAAATTTAATGACTTAGCATCAAAATGCAATGTTACTTATTATCCTCACGATCATTTTAAGTTTTTTTTAAAATCAAAATGGGTTTGACTATGGAGTATGAGTGGAAGTCGAGAAAGCCCAGAACTGACCATGTAATATTACAATTGGCTGTCAACCAGAAAGAACTGACTGAGCAAATCAGAGGAAACTGCTGAAAGACAAGGAAAAATACATCACTGACTAAACCAATCAATATTTGATTCAACTCTTGAGAAATTTGGTTCACATATATTTTATATAGAACTAATTGTTGGCCTTCTTGTTTTGATGATGTTTAACAAACAATTTACCACTAATGTTGTTTGTCTAGTGTTTGTGCATTCCTATGTTTTGTAGACAAACAACGTTGTTGGAGGATGGATGGAATAGAGCTTCAACGACGATATCCAATGGAGGTTAGCGGAATGTCGGTGAAGCCTTGCTATTCAAAGTTCAAGATCCAAGTTCAAGCTTCATCCGCGAGATTACCAAGTAGAGCTTATTGAAGGGGAAATTTGCACATCCCCAGAAGTATCTACCCTTGTTCCTCCCATTTTTACACTGCCTCATGGGTGTTGGAATGTTACAAAAACAACATACCTCTTCCCATGACTGAACACCCTCTGACGTTTTCATCTCGCAATCTCAAGAGGGAATGAAAGGAAAGTTAGAACTTCTATTAAGCTTATAACTTTCATATGTGCACATTTTATATTGCATAAGGAACAACTTACAAGCCGTTGGAATATGGCTGTTTGAAATGACTGGTTGCTAGCCGTTAGAATAGTGACTAATACGTTGGAGAAGTCACCCATTTAAACTCAAAACCTTAACATGACAGGTGAAGATCGGAAAACATCTCTCAGTATATAACATGTTTCTATTAACAGCATGAACAAAATGAATATAACAGGCATTATCACAGATTACAAAAGTACAACGCTATATACTTAACAACTTTAAAACCATCTATATGTCTCATACAAAAGTATTATTGTTTTGCAGGTTGCTCTATTGTGACCTTCAACTTTGCACCGAGAACATTTGACGGGCCGTTTGTATATGGTTCTGTTGTTTATGCGTCTTGTTCTATTTCTTCCCCTCCTCTTAGTGGTAATTGGTGGCAAAATCTGGATTTCATCCTTGGGCACACTCCGCTTCTCATAGTCTGGTATGGGATATAATATTTCATCGTAGCTCTTCTTAAACGCTTCTACGGACATGAACCAATCACAATATTGATATACATCTCCTTTCATATAAATAATTACTGCACAAGCATGGACACAAGGAATACGGGTTACGTCCCAAGCTCGGCAAGTGCATGTCCTATTCTCCAAATCAACGCGAGTGGTTCTATGTGATTGCACTTCGAAAATATCATCTCTAGATTGCCTAATCTCTAAAGTGTGCCCTTTTTCCATATTTTCCCTAACAATCTTCTCAGCTTTAGGACAAAGATAGCTTGTCCACTTACACGCCATTATCCGTCTGTTGTTCATGCGAGTCATAAGTTGTTTTCGGATATGCTCCACCATTTGCAGGATACGTAACAAACGGGCTTCACGTATCCAGCTGTTAAAGGATTCTGCGACATTAGAGGTTACATGGCCATATCTGCAAAGGACAACATATAGGAAGTATGATGGGCATATAATATGTTATCTTCTTAACAAGTGACCATAAAACTTAACCTATACTGCTAAAGGCTAACATAAAAACATCATAGTTAACATATATTGGTGAAAGTTAACATATATCAGCGAAGGTTAACCTATAAAAAGGATACTTCACATATATGCATAACAGTTAACATCAACCGCAAAACGTCTTAATGATTGAATGCATACCTAATGCCAGGGAAGAAGGTATTTGTCCAATGATCTGGCGAGTAATTAATTGCAATCTCATATGCGACTGGAGCCATCTCATAGATTTCCTTCATGTAGTCGTTCCATTCCGCTATAGTGTATTTATAGCAAGCAGTTTGGAGCAAATTCCCCAAAACCTGTGTGTCCTTTGCCTTCATTCCCAAATCCTTGAGCTTTGATCTAAAATTTTCAACTAGATACAGAACGCAGCGTGAGTGAATTGCTTCAGGGAAATATTCTCTCACGGCTTCTCGAATCCCCTTGTCGGCATCAGAAATAATTACCAATTGGTGGGGGGGATTGTACGGGTCCAACCTTTCATACAGTATGGACCACAAGCCTTGTAGGAACCATCTCCAATTATCAACATTTTCTTGATCACATATACAATACGCAAGTGGAAATATCCCTTGGTCTCCGTCGTAGGCTATGGCGCTCAGAAGCATGCCTTTATATCTGTCTTTCAAAAAGGTCCCATCCAAAAATAAAAGGGGTCTACAGCCATTTAAGAAACCCTGGATGCAAGCAGCATAACATATAAACAGTCTTCTGAACCTTCCTTCATTCTGGTCAATGCAAATGTAGCTTCCTGGATTCGTTTGCTTCAACATTTGCTCATACCTGTACAACAATGCCGCTTCTGGACATGTAAATAAATATAATACATTGGAACATAAGGGTAACATATTAACATTAAAGCGGCTACGATAAACATTTGCACACAAGTTATAAATTAACTGTAATATTTACCATCTTAATTGATCATAAGCCTCATAGCTATCACCATACATATCTTGCTGCGCTCTTTCTTTGGCCCACCATATCTTACTGTATTCAAGTCTCAATCCAAAACGAGTGAGGAAGTCCTTTTGCACATCAATTGGGCGGATTTCAGGTCGTGCCTTTAATACCGGTCGCAATTGGGCTGCTATGAACTTGCGAGATGCCCGTGATTGCCCTGACAAGCTAGAATGTTGTCCGCAACTGTGTTCATTCACAAACCTTTTGATTTCCATTCTTTTATCATTTTTAACAGGAGCTGCAAAGAGCATCCAAGGGCATCCATACGTCTCCTTATATCGACAACAAACACGGATACATTTGGGTTCATTCTTTAGAAATTCATATTCAAATTTTTTGGCCATGGAATAGTATTGCAAAGCTAGTCTCAATTCAGTTACGGTTTCAAATTGTTGCCCCTTTTCAGTTAATGCTGTGTGCCACCATTGAGGAATGCTCGAAGTGTTATTGAGAATATCATCAACCCTCATTACAATCTTACCAGACGAAAAATCAGTTTGGATTCTCTCTGAATTGGATGCATTTCCTGGAGGAGGACAACTATAATCTGCATTCAAAGAGGCATCCCTGTTGCACAATTTAATCAAACAGTGAGATATCCTGCACACTATGTTAAATAATCTTCTTATAACTTAAGTTAACAGCACTATGATGAAAGTTAACAATATGCATGGTTAACACAGCACACCAAAAGTTAACTAACTGGGTGTAAATTTAACCATTTTGATTAAAACTTAACATAGAGCAGTGGAATTTAACAGACAATGGACATAGTTAACACATAAATACGAAAGTTAACATGTTCAAGAAAAGTATAACATGTTCCAATGAGAGTTAACATGTTCATATAATAGTTAACATATATCTTAGATAATTAACCTGTAAGCTGAAGGGTTAAAATGTACCCATCAGCGATGACAACTATTTTTCCCCAAAGTAGCATCGAAACCTGAAATCACAATTTCAACATCCCACATATACCAGTTTCAAGCAGAGTTCATTCTATTACTTACAAATCAGTAATAACTTTCTGCAGGAGTAGGACACTACTTGGCATCAACATCTTACATTTTAATCAGAACAATTCTAGTTATTTACTTGCGTTCCAACGTGCACTTAAAATCATGCAGAATATAGCATTATCGCCTGACGGCACCATGCTCATCAACTCTTTGGAACCCGTTGGGGGTTCAAATTTATGACGACGGTTATACGGTTACATTCAGGGGATTTAAAGCCCAGAGGGGTCATTGAAAGTTGACCAAAAGATAACGGTGTTTACATCACACTAAGCACAATGTTATAAAGAGTTTATTAATTACTTACATTTCGCTAATAACTTTCTGATTCTTCCCTGGCGTGGAACACTCTACGTTAACAGCAGCCTGCATATGAATCTCCGTACAACCAATATTTCGATTGTGCTCCAACATGCACTTCAGGTCAGCTTCGTTCTCAACCAAAAAAATCAGGTTGGGGTGCCTCTCAGATTTATATATCAGGGAAAAAGATTCTTCAGGTACTTTCAATCTTTCAGCCACACCATATTTCAGTTCATAAAAGCTTGTTGTCGACATTAGCTTCATAAATATGGCATTCTCGCCTAAAGACACCATGCAAATCAAGTCATCAGCAGCCATTGGGTGGTTGAGAGTTATGAGGACAGTTATGAGGAGGTGAGGAGTAATTGAGGTGATTTCAGCCGCATAGGCGTGGTTGACAGTTGAAGAACATACCCTAATTTCATTAATGAGAGAGTGAGAGATAGAACTGACCGATTTATATTAAAGGCTGATGAAGCAGCATAGTAATGGAGGGAGCGCGTGCTTTTTTCCCCCGCTTTCCTCCGTCGCTTCGCCTTAAATGCGATGGGAGCGGTCGCCGCCAGAGGCGGAACCCATTTAGCCGGTTTTCGTTTGAGAGAGAAGAGGGTAATTTAGGTATGTTGGTCAAAATACACCCAATACATGTATAGGAATGAGAGAAGAGGGTAATTTAGGTATGTTGGTCAAAACCCATTTAGCCGGTTTTCGTTTGAGAGAGAAGAGGGTAATTTAGGTATGTTGGTCAAAATACACCCAATACATGTATAGGAATGAGGTTTTAGGGCTGGGCCACATTTTTCACCATTTAATGGGGCTGAATGCTAAGGGAATTAATTGAGGGGGCTGGGCCACAACCGGATCTTTTTTTGGGGGCCTTAAAACATTTTTCCCTAAATATTAAGGGAAAATGCTTCTAACCCCAAAATAAGAAGGCAAGTTCACCCCCCACCTCAAAAATAAGCCCACAAGCTTAATACCCCAAATCAAACTTTGTAAGCAAACACCACTCTCCAGCTCATATGAGTTCCTACCAGTGTATTTTTATTTTATAAAAATGATGATATTTCTCATTTGGGAAGTCTTTTTAGAAAACCAGTTTTTGTAGCATGTGTATTATCATGTCTACAATCATTCCCCAAAGTTTTATATTTTTTGGAATTTATTTGATATTTTTAAACAGCATTTCAAAATCAGATAAACAGTTTTCATATCAGTTTTCGGTCGACCGCACCGGTCGACCGAACCTGAGGTCAAAAGTTCACTGGGCGACAGAAAGCTGTCGGTCGACCGGTCCGGTCGACCGATGAAAATTTTCGGTCGACCGACGAATTTTCCGGTCGACCGACGAGTGTTCCTTCAGCTTCCAACGGCTAGTTTTTTGACCGTTGCCTTGGGGCTGTGTTTTTTGTCTTTTGCTCTGGTTTCTTGGCTGAGTTGTGAGAGGGTATAAATACCCCATTGTCTTCAACTCTCAAGCTAACTAAGAAATGTTTTAAAAGAAAAGAAAAGTTTAAGCAAGGGTTTAGGGTTTTACTGTTTGTTTTGAGTTTGGGTTTCTGTTTACAAAGGAGGAAGTTTTCACTGCAGATTGAGGGATTCATTCTCAATCCCCTTCATCCTCTTCTTGTGTTCTTAGAGAAGTTTTCTAACTCTTTTCTCTAGCAATTTCATTATTGATTTTCATATTCTTATTATTGCTAGTTTGTTAATTGAGTTAGATTTTATTTTACTCATTGTTACACACACCCACATTGAGCTTATAGTATTTGCATACATAGTATAGTTGGGTGGTGAGAGATTGTAACTTTGAGTTGTGCTTTCATTGTGTTCTCATCTATTGTAGAGAACAAATTTGTTGTATTTACTTTGTGAGTGTTGTAAGGTTTTCGGTGAGCTAGAAACCGAGTGTGTTGTGAAGTTTTCGGTGAACTAGAAAACCGAGTGTGAGGAGTGGACGTTGATCGGTGAACGTTGAAAACCGACATTGTGAGGGTGAGTGTGAACGTTGATCGGTGACGTTGAAAACCGACACTGTGTGGTTGTAAACGTTATTCGGGTGAGCGTAGAAAACCCGGTCGTGATAGTGGATTTCTCCCCGGGAGTGGGGAGCGGAGACGTAGGACGGAAGGTCCGAACTCCGTGATCATATTGCTTGTTTGAGTGTGCTTTGGCGTTCATTCATATTTATGTTCATATCTTATATCGCCATTGTCATTAGCTCATTATCTATATCATCCACTATCTTGTTTATTTTACCCTTGTGTTAGTTCATATATCCTTGCTCATATTTTTGTAATATCTCATTGATAGGATATATTCATTTGTTCATATTGCTTATCCTAGCTTACGTATCTTGTTGTATTTTATACTTGCTAGGATAACTTATTAATTAGTTTTAATTGGCATTTAATCGGATTAGATTAGCATAAGACCCTAATCACCCCCCCTCTAGGGTCTGACACTAATGAAAGATATGCATAGCTACTATCCCAACTCGACTGAAGGTAAGTTAAGTAAATCATATGCTCCTAATAAAATTTAATACTCAAACTAAAAGATGGTGCATCTGCTGTACATATATGTCTAAATAATATTTAACAACACTAATTCTTATTACAGGAGATAAATCCACTTTTATGTGGATCAGGTTTTCTAGTCACCAATATAGAATATGAACCATCTATGGTTACATTGTGCAAATACAAAGTAATGTATGTATATGGGTGTCGCGGTGGGCGTGCGGGCAGGGGTTTCAGGAGGAGTTGCAAGAAAAGTTTAGTACTATCTAGTATTTTTCTCCTAGAAGCAAAGGACATGGCATTCAGATTCTCAATAAAGCTGCACATGACCCTAAAGCAATTTAAGTTATAAGAACGATGCTATCCATTTCCCATTAACCAATCAGGAAACACAATTATTCCCCATGGAAAAAGTTTAGGAAACTAACATTTCTCATTTGGATTTGCATTTGGGGTGTTTATATAATCAACAAAAGATTTGACTGCATTGAACTTGAATGAGAGAAATTATTTTAGTTAATATTAGCCTATTTTGAAATGAAGGGTACCTGTGCTTCTGTCACATGGTGGACAGCATCTTTCCAAGATGCACCACTTATCTCAAGCTGCCTTGCCCAGCTACGAGCATGTTCCCACCGGCCATTCATTTCAAGTGCCGCTAAAAGAGAAGCATCATGCAAAACTTCATTTCCTAAATATGCATCCTCATCTTTGCGCAGAGATGGTTCAGCTAAACTAATTTTCCAGCAGAGCCGGTGGAAATAAGCTGAAGCAGCTCCCGCATCTCCAAAATCAGCCGCTGCTAGAATTTGCAACAAACACCGTTTTTCATATGGTGATGAGCATGTTGACAGCATGGCTTCTGCAGCTTTTACAGCAGTGGAGCTAATCCATGATGTTTTGACTGACCCATTCCTTGCAACATTCATATGCAAAAACGGTTCTTCCTTTATTCTAGCTGAAAATGATGCAAGGTGCGCCGAAGCTTCGGACAGTCGCATTTGAGAAAATGCCTATATTTAGCATAAAGCAGAATCATCAATCAAACTTTAATCAAGCAATTGCATTTCTCAATAATTTGCTAAAGATTAAATAACAGAATACAAAATCGTACAAAGGGCAGAAGGGAACAAGATGGCAGGAACATTTCGAAAGCTCTTAACAGGGGAAGAAATAGGTGCTGTCCACATAGAACCGCTATCATGTTTGAAAGAGAAGCGAGTCCTTCATCAGAATCAACAGACAGTTTGGACTTTTCAGTACACATTTCATTTGTTTCCTCAGAACCAACTTCTTGAGAAATTGATGCCACAGCAGATCTTGACCTGCTAGGGATATTAAAGGATCCATCTAGGGAATCCCCTGATGCAGGCTCAATGAGACAATCTGGGGAATCCCCTGATGCAGGCTCCATGAGACCATCTGGGGAATCCCCTGATGCAGGCTCCATGAGACACCTTCGCTTTGGTTTTCTACGATTATAGCGAAACATAAGGCTTCTGCTTCCACTTGGTAATTTATTGGTGGCCTCTACAGCAGCACCAACACTGCTTGCAATTTTGGAAGAAATGTCGTTCACCTTGATAGATGATGTCTCCCTGAATAAAAGGAGAAAAAGATGGAATACCTTTCAAATTAGTACATATTGCAGATGCATATACTGTCAAATAACCACTCTAAAGCTTAAGCTGGTGGTTCATGAGCTAAACATGTATATTAAACAATACGTAAAACACCCTCGTATGGGTCTTCGAGCCACATGGGAAAACCTCCAGCATAAACATGAGTCCTTTGAAAGACAGAATAAAGAGGGTAAATAAAAATATTTTGAATCACCAATGATGAAGTGCAAATCTATCACTTCTCTAGATCCGATGCTCTATTACTAGAAAACCACTTAACTCAAAACCTTACCTTTGAACTATATGGATTACAAGTTATAGTCAATCCGCTTAACTTTCGAGAGAAATGGTTGGCATTATACGGTAAGCACAACATCATTACAAAAGGAATATATGTGTGATATTGACTATTTTGAAAAGAGGAAGCTACTCTGGCTCAAGTCTTCATTTAGAAGATCCAGAGAATCGAGGAGATAGAAGATTTGAAGATGTGTGATTACCTTGCTGCCGTTATTTCAAGCCAAACCATCAAGCATGAAAGTGCAGACACATCTGAGAAGCATGAAGCAATCATTGCCAATAGAGACCAGCTTAGATCTTTTGCTTTCGTCAGAAGGGCTTCACCAGGATTTTTCTGCCTCTCGCATTCAGCAAGGATTCCAAAAAGCTCCACAGAAACAACACTATTGCTACCTGGGATGCAAGGCATTTCATTATTTCCTGAAGTCAACCCATTCATTGTTGAAGAGTTCGTTTTTTTCCTAGCTGATTGCATGCTTTTCAGGACAGTTAATATATGAATCCTGAGTCGTGGATCACTGAACTCCTTAGCTGCCTAAGAAAGTAGGGTGAGAAATCAGTATCATTTTTAAACAGACAATTAAGTTACAGAGCACCATCCACGGTCAGAAAAGAATTGACATTACCACTTCAATGATAACATCAGTTGAGAAACCTCCCATCTGAGCTTCTGTCAGAAACCCAACCTGCCAAAAGCATATGCAGACAACAAAATTCAAGCTCAGAAAAATATCCCATCACATAGTCAAAGTAAACAAAATATTGAAATGTGTGCAGGCAATACCCAGTCATTGTCATTTGCAAGCAGAGACAGATACTTTGTACTCAAAGGAAGACGATGCATATGGCAAAATTCTGTGACCAGGTTCCACCTCATGCTTGCATCCTTTTGCTGAGCTCGGAATTCATAACCATCACCATTGCCGCTTGAAAGCCAGTTACCACAAGTTTTGCCTTCATCAATCAGTGGCAAGCTTGCTTTCTCCAAATGTTGTAAGACAGTCATGAGAGAACGTGGAGGCTGTCCCCCTTTTAAAACTTCATGTGAAACATGTCTCTGATCCAAAATATGGGCATGATCATGGTGGAGATAATTATCTGCTAATGCTTGCGCAAGTGAAAGAATAGTATCACCTTCCTGGGATGCTGCATGAAGTGCAGATTCCCTAGGTGAAACATGTCCATAATGCGGATTCTGCCTAACTGAATTATAATACGAAGAAATACGCTGTAGGACTGCCACATCAACACGGAGCAAGGTAGCAGACAATCCACAAAGCTCCAAAAGGAAAGCACATGACGCAACCAATACAGAATCCTCAAAGTGTGTAATAGCAAGTGGCACAACCTGATATGAAAAACAGAAAAGAGCATCCATGAGAAATGGAATGTCAACATTGAACAAATCACAACATTATAATTGCAGAAAGCATAATTCATAAACATAAAATTGATTTGGAATACAGTTATGCGCAATACAACAATGTATGTGAATCTTGTTGACAGATACAATAAGCATGGGTAGATTTTTGACATTTTCAAACAATGAAGGTTTCATAAAGTTTAGTCCGACGTCAGTAGGTGACTAAACAATTGAGTGGTTTATACAGTGAAGCCAAAGGCTCAACTGTAGCATCGGGTAGCCGATTTTGGCAGCGATTAGAGCCAAACAACATGCTACACTCAGTGGGTCCCCTGATTTACATTGCGCCAAGGGGTTCGCCGGCCCGGGGCGTGACATAGTTTCCTAAGGCAAGATAAGGATAGAGTTCAACAGTTGCAAACTCTATTTATGTATTTGGGAATGTCCTTAAATGATCAAGTACTATACAGCAGCAATACTTTAAAAGAGACATACATATTGGACATGTCTCCAATACTTAAATAATCAGATACTTGGTGGAAGCATTTCAGATACTCCTCTTAGCATATCCTACAGTTTGCAGCATGTCCTAGATGTACAAAAGATATCACAGATGTATCCGACACTAACAAGTTAAAATTCAAATTATGGGATCATGATTCCTTCTTTTTTTAACTGTAGATGCGCTGCTATATTTTTATACAATTTCTTCATAAAAAATATGATTGTAGCTAATTAACATGCACAATTATAATTTTATTTGTTGTACCATAACGTCTCAATAATCTGAATTTTTAAGATTGACTTAGTAATGTAGTAAACTCTTGTATTCCTATCAATGAAAATGAATGTACTATTATCCATATATGTCATATTTTAATATCTTTTTTCTTTTTTTATGTCATTTTTATGTCTTAATTTGTCAAAATCAACAATACTATCGTGTCTGTATTGTATTAGCCGTGTGTGCTATAATCATGTCCATGTTATACATATCAGCTGTATGAATACAAGGGAGCATGTATAGAAAAACATTCTAGCGAATTATTGCATGAAGGTATATGAAAATGCATGCTGGTCTCGTACCGTGCATGTCTTCAAGAGTGGATCTATTCACTGTTACAGAAAGCGGCCTAGGCAGACCCCTGGCCGCCTAGTTTTGACCTAAGCGGTCATGCTAAGCGTTGCCTAGCCTTTTGAGTTAAAAAAATAAATAAAACCCACTCATACCCAGGCCCAGCCCAACACCAATTAAGATCCAACTTGCAAAGAAGAGGTTTTTAAAGAAAAACTTGACTCCAAGTTTCCAAACCCGACCCGGTAGCTTATTAACCCAAATCAAACCCTATCTTCTCAATTCTCTTCATCGTTGTCCCCCAATCTTTTCCCCAAACCGCCTCCCTCTCTTCGCTGCCACCTCCTCTTCCTCGCCGCTGCCTCCTCCTCTCTCCAGGCAAACACCGCTGCCTCCCTCTCTTTGCCTCCACTATCTTTACCACCTCCTCTCTCCGGCCAAACACCACCACCCCTCTTCCTCGCCACCTCCTCCTCTCTCCAACCACCACCTCAGCCTCCTCTTTTCTTCAAATCATCTTCCTCAAGGTAAGTTTTTCAATTTTTTTGCTGTTTTATTTTTCACTGTTTGTTTTGTTTTTGGTTAATTTCCCACTATTCTACTGTTTTAGGTGATTTAGTTACTTTTAAATATTGTTAGTTAGTCTTATTTAATCATAGTTCAATTTTATTTTAATTTTGGTATATTTCAGTTTAACCTTATTCAATTTTCTAAGAATTTAATTCATGTTTTTGCTAACTATCATTATTTAACTTAAAAATAGTCAAACGCCTAGGCGCTAGGCCCCGGCTCAAATGCCTAGTCTGCCTAGCGCTTTCTGTAACAATGGATCAATTAACAGAACGTGAAAATCACCTTTGTTACAATGCATATCTGTGAGCAAAAAGGAATCACATTTATTACTACTTATCATGAGTTGATGCTAAGCCATCGTCGTCGTTTCGTTGTATATAAAGAGTGTGTATAGAAGAGTATCAACACAGTAAGGAGATTTCCACTCTCCCTCTTTTTATTCTCTCCCCCTCTCATTTATCCATGGAATGCTAATGGTGAATTTAATTCACAATAGAAGCCGAACTCAGGGACCTAATCCTAACAAAATGGAAAAAGAACATGGCATCAGCAAGCATAGGTGCCAAGTTCTCTGATTTTTGTGCCACGGAAATAGATTGATCAAGGGGGTGACAGCTCAAGAAGCCAGTAAAACTGCCAAAAGATGCACAAATGAGATTGCCTCCCAAATGTATGCATGTCTATGCAATTGATGTATGAGCAATGAGGTAGCAAAACCTCAAGCATGCAAAATACTTCAGAGTCCTTACTTGGACTCCTGTGCTTTTCAATCAGATTCCTCTCACCCTTCAGCCTTTGCTTACTACATGATCTATATTTACCTCAGGAAGTTCGCATATCCTTTTTAGTAAATCTATATGGATTTCATCTACATCAGACATCCGATCAGAGATAGAGGACTTTCCAGTTTATTACATTCTGGCGGATGAGCGTAAGACATGTTTGAAGAACCTTTGAAGCTACACAGAATTCCAAACTGAATTCTGGCAGATGACTAGATCTACATCAGACATCTATGACAAATTTGTTTGGATTTAACCGTTGGACCAATTTTAACAAAGGTGGAGATAGTTCGGTTCGTATCACAAGACTGGTTTCGGTACCTAAGCTGCGGAATGGGTGGAGTTAAAGTTCGGTTATAGAAAATAGAGTAGGAATATGAGTGTGTAGTGTATGATTTACATCTACAACCTAATCAATTAACAGTTAAGTCCTAAAAATGTGTCTATATAATAATAATGGTTCGATATCCAACTTCCATAACAAGAGGAGACATTGAACATTGTTCTTTCTCTGGGTAAGGGCAACCGCGAATCAGACATAACTTAGGAGTGATAATTATCTATTAACCTAGAAATTCCCCAACATAAAATAAATTTAAGAAGGGAAGGTAACAAGGTCCGCCATGACATTGTAACAAGAGCAGCCATCCCTCCTTTATATGTGAGAAATTGGTGGTACTCCTGAAGGCACAAAAACTGACAGCTAATATTTAAATGCACAAAGAAATTGACATGTCGTGTTAAAAATAGCTGTGTCCCTTTTATCCTATCAGAACATGACATGTGGACAATTAATCTTAAATTCACCTGATTACGACTATTCATAATTAGAAAATTCTAATAATCAAATATTAGGTAATCCTAATCTAAGTATAACTATCCATAATTAAAGCAATCTCAGTCATATTTTTAGCTACAGAAATTAAAGGGGCCAAAAACACTAATACTGATTAATAAGGCAGAATATGGAGAAAAACTATTTCAGCACCCACAAAGTAAGTGCATGAAACTGTATGCTTATCTTAAATCTTGACGCATTTGGGAACAGTGGTGTTACTGGTGTAGTTTCCAGTTTGAAGCAGCAGAGTGCTGATAGAAAATAATTTTAGTTATGAAGAGGGGATATTTATCCTCTAAAGGAAGTAGGAACCAAATCAATTACTAATTCATGAGCTCACAATTCTCGTTGTTTATGGTAATGAATATTTTCTATATCATGAGCATTCCTCACTCACACATATGTATATAGACACAGAACATAGATCATGGTATTTTAATGAAAATGTTTGCTTCACAAATATTGATAAGGAGAAGTACTTTGAACATAATTGATTCAAAAAATAATAAGAAGAAGAATATCAGTCTTAAGTCAAAGGTCAAAAGAAAAACATACAGATGACAGAAGTGATCCTTCACTTTGACTCAAAGGTGCAAGAATTGCTTGCATATCTGACTGTATGTTAGTTTGCCCAGATAGGCCCCTTTGAGTATGGGCAGATTTTAGTTTTGAAACCCGTAAACCAAGAATATGGTTGAAAGCAGCTAGTGCCCGCCCTCGATGCAAGTGATGCTCCACTCCAAATCCCTTATCCTGGAAGAGATAATAAACTTAATAAAGACATGGAAGGCGCCAAGGTAATACAAACATCAGAGAATTATTTGAACCTCTAGCAGCACTATGGTATCTAGTAGCTACAAACATTATATTCCATGGATTCATCTATTTATTATAATGTTTTAGTAATACTGCCTTACGTTTCCATTTAGAAACTCTGTTTTCTCTACCTGCATTGGTATATGCATGTAGAAGGACGCATTGGTGCATACAAAGGCGTGTGGTGGATGAAATTTGAGCATTTGCATTAACAAGAATACAATGTCTATTTAACACAACTGAACAGATTAGGGTTCATCACAAGAGAACTTTACATGCTATATTTTTTTATTATTACCAGTCGTGCTTGTTACCAAAAATAGAAGATCTTACAACGGATCTCCATTTACATGTCACAGACACGTCACGCATTCCTATGAGCAGTATAAAACCATCTGATGCCAAGGACCTAACTGAATTGCTGCTTGTCAGAAATCTAAGGTCCAAGTTCATGTCGTTCTCACATCATTGCTTGCTACAAATGTACTCCATCCATCTTAGCAAACTAATTTATTCAAAAACAAGCCTATGAAAATTCTTAAACAATTTAGAAAATGGATAATTTATGAGCATGATAAGACTCCCATGTACAATATCAATCTATTCATACAGGCATTCAGGTTATAATAACATGTGCTTTAAGCAGTTATCCTTCCAAAGGTAACATCTTGCAAAAGCACCTACTGCTTAGCTGTACTTAAGAACATCATAGAGATACACCGCATTTAAGATGGAGACATAATACCTCAACTGAAGAATAAAGCTCCTCAACACTTTTCTGAATAGCTGCTTCCCAATTTATAGGAGTAACCCCAGCATTTCCAGTCGCATGTATGACATAACTGCTTTCTCCATAAAAAGACGATTCTCCAGTAGGTACTGCACCAGATAGAGATTGCCATCCCAGAGGACCCTGAAAGTGAAATAGAACAATAATTCAAACCAAATATTGAATTCATTTACAAAATGCTATTGTTTTTTTATCAGTGCAGTAAGAATCAATTGACTGCTGATTTAGCAACATCATAGCAAAGAATTAACTCAGAAGAAAAAGCGTATACACATGGTCAATTAGATTCAAGACAGCTCAACAATGAGCACCAACCAGAGGGTTATGATAAATGAGGGAAAACAAACAGCATTTTTTAAGTACTTTAGTCTATTGAGGCTAGCAGCAAGCTTGAATATTAGTCGAGAATGCTTCATGCAGGAATACGCCTGTCTTTCTGGATGTAGATTGTCATGTTAACTGCTTTCCATTGAGGAAAGGGTCAGCAGTACGACTGAAAAAGTTTATGTAGTGGGCCTGTTAATAACATTGCCAAGAACAGCGTACCAACTATTAAAGCTAAGCTGTGATTTTCATAGTTGGACTCTCGTGGTAATGAAGGAGCTTCCACTATTGAACCCACATCACTGACTTCCAAGGAACGAGTAACGGGAACAGTCTCGAGTGAACTACTTAAGCTGCCACAATCCATAGCAGAGAGATGACTAAAGATAGACTTAAACAGATCGCAAAAGGAAATTTGGCAAACCTCAGGGTGAGGATGCGACGCAAAATAAACACTACATCCAACACACAAAGATTCAAAGCAACCACACTTAAGATAGAGGCTTGTCAGAACAGCTGACTATAATCCAGACTTATGAAAGCACACAACCATAACTACAAATTTTCTCCCGAACCAAAGCCTTGTGTGATTAACAAACATGCTTCACAGGGAAAACTTAAGAAAAAGCCGACTGAATAACTATGTTTAGGCCACACCAATAGCAGCTGCTCGTTTCTGTAAAGGCTTCAGTACCTACTTGCCCCCCTAAACTATCAAGTCTGTCCCTTCTTATCCCATAACTATTTTTAGTCTCATCTTGTTCCCTAAACTATTGATTTTGTCCCTGCTTACCCCCTGAACTATTTGCAGTCTCTCTTTACCCCCTGAATATCACTTTTCTCTCATAAATCTATTTAGGACACCCACAAAGTAATAAATGGAAAGTGGTAACTAGCAACCAAAAGTGATGGGATGATTTTAATAGTTTAGGGGCGCAAGGTGGAATGAAAAATAGTTCAAAGGGGTAAGCAAGAAACGAATTCAATAGCTTAGTAGGGGATAAAAATAGTTCAGGGGGTACGAAGGGACAAATGTCACCGTTCAGAGGGCAAGTAGGGTATGAAGCCTTATATAAATGCTGGCCTGGGCAGACAGCAAACCATATTATGACCCATGAATTTCCGTGATCCACTCTACAGACCAGACTACTTTTGATATTATATATATATATATATATATATATATATATATATTATATATATATATAATATGAGATTAATGGGTATCCTTGTCATAGGAGGGGATTTCCTCCTTGACGCCTCTAAAATCACATGATTAAGCGACATTGTGGGATGATCCGCTCCGTTGAACTTGATCTAC